GAGAGACAGAGAGCTAGAAAGCGAGAAATCACCCCCCAGGGGGGATGGCCACGCTGCAATCTCTTCTTCTCCATTCTCCTCTCAGGATCTTGGGCACGCATGCACACGCGCCCAGTGTGAGTTTAAACCATTGGGTCTGGGACTCAAACCATGGTCAACTACGTGGAAGTCCAACAACATAGCCATTACATCAACTGCTGGCCCCACAAAAATCTTTCTTAAAAAAAAAAAAAAAAAAGAAGAAGAAGAATGGGGGAGGCAGCAGGTGGCATGGAGGTTAAGGAGCCAGATCCCATTTGTGAGATTGTGCAGTTCAAGTTCTGGACCCCATGGCTTGAAATTCACACTTGATACGCATGCATGTGTGCCTAAAATCCTGAGAGGAAACTGGAGGATAAGGAATTGCAGTATGGCCATCCCTCTTGGGGGGTTATTTTTCTCTCTAGCAAGCTCACACATCCTATAGCAAAAACTTAAAAAAAAGAATGGGGATGGGAAGAACATTCCCCATTCAGGGAACAGCATATGCAGAGACTTTCAAATAGGAAAAGCAACTTTGTATGATTAAGAATCTGAAAGAAAGCCATCAGGAATGGAAAAGAGAGTGGGAGGAGATGAGGTTGGAGAGGTGGGCAGGGCCTGCTTATTGAGGACTTTGTAGACCAGTAGGGAGTTTAGGTATTTTAGTAGTGGGAGGCTTCTGAAAGCTTTTAATAGATATGTTCCTATTAACATTTTACAAATATCACTCTGATTGCTTATGGAAAATGATCAGAGGGTTTGACTAAACAGAAATAAGGAGACTGATTAGGAAGCTGTTGCACTAATTCAGGTGCAAGAGGCAAGAGCAGACAGATTTCTTGAGAATGGACAGGTTAAATCGTTAGGTTGAATGTGAGGGCCAAGGAATAAGAGGTCAAGGGTGCTCATTCCTAAGTGTCTGATTTGAATAGCTGCATAGAAGATAATGCCATGTATTGAATTGGAGACCACTAGGGGAGGAATAGAGTTGAAATCTATCACACCCAGGGTGATTTCTCCTCTCTTCTCTTGGGATTTTTTGGGGCACAGAAGCGCACGCACCTAGCATGTTTCAAGTCTCTGGGTCCAGGACTAGAAATGTGATTGCCCATGTGGAAGTCCAGTGCCTTAACCACTGTGCCATGTGCTAGCTCCAACATTTCTAAAACAACCAGAATGGGTAAGATCTCCTCACAAGAAAGTACAGAAAAAGAAGAAAAAGAGCCTAAGATAGAGCTCTTAAGAACTTCAGTATTTAACAACCTTGTAAAGAGGTAAGCACTAAGGCTTATTTTTGTGCATGAGGAAACTTCCTTTGATGGTTTCTGTTTGCTCCAAGAAATAAAAGTCAGGGTTATCAGTGGGAAATGGTGCGGTGAGATGGGAGTAGTTAGAGGAAAAAGCAGTATTGCAGGGGGGGTGGAGATGATCTTCCAGAAGGATCTAAGAGGTACTAGGCAGGTCAAGAGTCTGTTATACGTTGTTCAGGGTTTAATTTAGTATTAATAGTCACAAAACAGTTTTTTCTTTAGTTGCATTTCAATTATGGTGATAATACATGAATACATTCTCCTTTTAAATGATCAAATGTTACCTATGAAGTTTAGGCCCTTTTATTTTGTCTCTTCTTACCCCAAGAAACAAAATCTGGATAACACTCCCTCTCCATTGTTAGCCACTATTTTGAAACTGATATGTATTTTATTCTTTGGACTTTTTCTATTTATATAATTTTTTTAATAATTATTTATTTTATTTTTTATTTATTCATTCATTTATTTTTTTAATTTGACCAGAGAGAGACAGAGGGTGAGAATGAGAGAGAGAGGATGTGAGAAAGCAAGCCATGAGATTCAGGACTCATGGTCACCATGTGGGAGTATCCAGTGCCTTAACCACCACACCACCTGCTGGTCCCCTATATAATATTTTAATATATGGTAGCATACTGTATATATAGGTATATAGTTCTTCAACTTGCTTTTTTTTCTCATTTGGGGGCTTATCCATGTTAGTATGTAATTCTCCCTCATTCCTTACAAATCTTTTCCAATGAAAAAAAATTTTTAATAAACATTTCAGAATTGGGCTGGCAGGTATGGTGGTTAAAGTGCTGGACTCCCACATGGCCGACAGCAGATCAAGTCTCAGACCTGGAAGCTTGCTTTCTCACTTTCCGTTTCTCTCTCTCTCTGACTCTCTCTGGCTAAATTAAAAAATAATAATAATAAACAAAATGAAATAAATGAATACATTTTTTTTAATCCTGGAATTGCAGACAAAACTATATACACTACCACAAAGATTAATAGTGAAGTTACTAATGAAACAACAGGTGCTAGAAGGATTCATTATCCAAATGGGTCAAGCTAATCTAGGGAAGATTATCCTCTAATCTAGTGCTTTTACAGCATTCCACAAAAAGCCGAACAGTTAAAGGGAAAGGGTACTGTTTTAGGCTCTTGAAAAAATAGTGTCCATGAACTAGTTGTTTGACATACTAAATATCTTCTGGATATAGACAAAGAGGAAATTAGACTTGGAAGTCATTTATTAGCCATTAGTCTATTTTAGGTAAAACATTGTGAGATCAATTTACTTGAAAAGTTGAAGCTAGTGTGAACAGTATTAAGCTGAAAATGGAATGGGTAAAACCTATACATCTCTTCAGCAGACACTCATCCTTTTGTATCTTTTTCACATAATTCTTCCAGGTGCAAATAAATATGATCCTTTTTGCATAAATGCTTGCTAAAAGACCTCCTTTTTTATTTTATTTTATTTTATTTTTTTAAATTTTTGCTATAGGGCAAATGCACTCACCAGAGAAACAGAGAGGGGGAAAGTGAGAAATCACTTCCTACCCCCGGAATGGCCATGGTGAACTTTCTTCTCCTTTCTTCTCTTAGAGTTTTGGGCACATGCATGCAACTGGCATGCTTTTTAAAGCCACAAGTCCAGGATTTGAACCACGCATTCTGTGGTATGGGATCCAGCTGCCCTAACCAGCTGGCTCCAAGACCTACTTTTAAGAGAGATTCTAAATCTGAATGAGAGCACATACATGCTTTTGCCTAAAAACAGTTCTTTGAAATATGCTTCTTATTTTAATTAGTTTTTGGAGAATAGGCCTTTTCTTTAATACTGAGTGGAATATGCCTCTTTGGAGCAGTCAGTATTTTTTTTTTTTTTTTTGGAGAGATTTTTGCTATAGGGCACGTGCGCTCACCAGACAGACAGAGAGAGACATAAAGACAGAAAGCGAGAAATCACCCCCCAGGGGGGATGGTCACGCCGCAACCCCTTCTCCATTCTCCTCTCGGGATCTTGGGCACGCACACACACGCGCCCGGCATGAGTTTTAAGCCACCAGGTCCGGGACGCAAACCGCAGTCGACTACATGGGAGTCCAGTGACATAGCCATTACGCTAACTGCTGGTTCCTTAGTCAGTATTTCTTTGCAAGATTTGGACTTTTGAAAGGGAATAACTATTATTTTCCCTTGGTGGAAATTTATGTTATTTCTTAACTCTACATTTATTTCTTCAACAAATATTTCTCAAACACCTGCCATTGGCCAGGTAATTTTCTTTCTTTCTTTTTTTTTTTTTTTTTAGTTTTGCTAGAGGACTCACTTGCTGGAGAGATACATGAGGGGTTGAGTGATTTCTCACTTTCCCTCTCACTGCGCCTGTCTCTCCCCTACAAGTGTACATGCCCTAAAACAAAAACCTCTAAAAAAAGCAAACCTGCTTTATGCATTTTACCCTCCTTTTATTCTACATCTTTATGTACTCTGCTCTCCCCACATCCTACCACTTTTGCTAATGTCATTTATTTTTTCTAGAGTACCTTTTCCCTATTTCCTACAAACTCTAAGATTCATCCGATTTTAAGATATTTTTGGTGACTCAGTATCAGTCCTCCAGGAAGCTTTCCTTTATCTACCAAACTCAAATCAAACCAAAGTTCCTTACCTTTGAATACCCTCATCACTTCGTCTTTGCATCTCTTAAGATCACATCCTACTCTTGTTAATCCTCATTCCAGTGTTCAGTTAAATGTCGGTGTTCTCTAAGGTTTCTATCCTCAGGTTCTGACCCTGTAACCCCCAGCAGTCTTCTCCATGTTCAAGGCTCCTCTTGCCACTGTTGTGTACATTGGCACCTCCTGAATCTGTCTTCAACCCAGTTTCCTGCCAGGCCTCCAGACATATTTACCCACCTGTTACTGAACTTCTCCATCTGGCCGCCCCACCATCCCCTCAAACTCAGCATGACTGAGGTGTTTACTATCCTTTCCCTGAAACACTTTTCTCTGCTCTGTTCCCTGTATTCATCAGTGTCAGTACCATCACCTATCAAGACAGACCTAACTCCAAACAGAAATCTTTTCACTCCCTCACCCCCAACTCAAACCATTATCAAGTTGGTGATCCATCCTTCTCTCTAAAGGCAGCCTTCTTGCTCTCGTCCCTGGTTCTGCTCCTTTAAATCCGCCCCTAATTCCCCTAACCCACACCTTTGTCATAGCCCACTAACAACTGTCAGCCTTGCCTCCCTGTACTCCACCCTACTTGCTACCAGAAGAACCCGGCCATTACTGACCACGTCAGTCCTCTGCCTCACCGCCTTCAACACTCTGTTGCTGGGAGCCTAGCTGTTGGGTTTTTTACTTGCCTTGCACTTTTTGCTTTGTCTCCCTCACCCCCACTGTAAGCTCTCCATCGTAGGGGACAAATATGCCCTTTTCTTCAGCCCTTCTCCAAACTATTTATGTCTCTGTGGGCATATCATGCCCATTCCTGCCTCTTGTGGCTATTGTAGAATCCTTCCCTGCCCTTGGGAGGAGGGCGGTAGGTCTTGGAGCTTACCAGACTTAGAATTGAATCTGAACTCTACTGCTTAATGGCTGTGTTGCCTGCCACAGGTCACCTAACTCTTCTGAGCTTTAGTTTCTTTGTGGAGAACAGAGTACCTGTGGGTCGACTCATTATGAAGTAATGTTTGATAACTATTCTAGTACTGTATCTTGGAGTTCTTGGTTCCTTTTTTCCTGTCTTCCTTATCTAACAAACTTTGTCTTTATTTAAACTTACATCTTTAGTCTGGCTCACCTCTACAAATTCTGCCCTTTCATTTTATAGTTCTGATTCTGTGATATTCGTGTTCACGCATCTACCTCCCTGCTCAGCTAGAAGCAGCGCGTGGGCCAGAACCAGTTCTGTCTTATTCTAAGTCTGCTGTCAATTATTTATGTGCATGTCCTCTCCTAACCTAGCTGGAAGCTTCTCAAAAGTGAAGTTAAAAAAAAGTTACTGTTATTATTTTGATTGCCAGAGGGCGTGTGCCCTTGCCAAACAGAGAGAGCCATAAAGCACTCCCAGTGGGGTCTGGTCACACTGTAATCCTTTTCCTCCAATTCTCCATCCTGTCAGGAGCCTGGGCATGTTCACATGTGCCCCTAGAGTTTAAGCCTCTGAGCCCAGTACTCAAGCCCTGGTTGGACATTTGGGATCTGGCTCCCACAGTGTGTAAGTGCTGCACTATAGGCCAGCCCAGTTTTTCATTCGATTTTGTATCTTTCAGCAACTAGCTGAATGGTGGTTTCCCCACATATTTGAGTAAGTAAATTAACAAAGTACTTGTCCCATAGATAAGAAGGTAAAGTGAAGAGCACATACAGAAATAGCAGATGTCAGAGAATTCTCTTAAGTTTGACATACATAAAGCAGTGTTATGATTCATAGGTTTGTCAATAGCGAATTTCTACATATAAGTTGTATTAAAGCAAATATGGTTTTCATTTGTTTTGTGTAAGTTACATCAAATGGTATAATACTGCCCCTTACATACTAATTTTAACCCATTAACAAAAAACCATATGGGGCTAGTGGGTGGCATGATGGTTAAGGCACTGAACTACCATGTGGCCTACCGCAGTTTAAGTCCTGGAGCTGGTGGCTTGCTTTCTCACTTTCCCTCTCTTTCTGTCTTTCTCTGATGAGCATTCATGCCATATAGCAAATTTTAAAATAATGATAAATAAAATTAAATAACGCTTAAAAAAAATACTGCTTGGCCCCATAGCCTAATGGTTACATGAGCCAGATTCCACATGACTGACCATGCACTTCAAATCTCAGCCCTGGTGACTTGAAAAACATGCTGGATGCATATGCATGTATGTTCTTTTTTTTTTTTTAAGAATCATTTTATTTATTTATTTATTCATTCATTTATTTTAATTTGACCAGAGAGAGGGAGAGAGGGAAAGTGAGAAAGCGAGCCACCAGGTCCGGGACTTGAACCATGGTTGGCCATGTGGGAGTGTCCAGCGCCTTAATTATCATGCCACCTGTTGGTCCCCATATGCATGTATGTTCTAAAATTTCAACAGGATGGAGAAATGGAAGAGAAGAGATTGTTGCATGATCACACCCTATTGGGGGTACTTTCTCTCTCTCTCTCTCTTTGGTGACCATAAGTACCTTCTGGCAATAATTAAAAAAAAAAAAAAAGGCTCTGTCTATAACTGTTATTTAAAGTGGACTCTTCTGGGGCCAGCAGGTGGCATGATGGTTAAGGCACTGGACTCTCACATGGCCTACTGCAGTTCGAGTTCCAGACCTGGAACTTGCTTTCTTACTTTCTCTCTCTCTCGCTCTCTCTGTGTCTGGTGAGCACACATACTTCATAACCAATTTGAAAATAATAATAAAAAAAATATTTTTTAAAAAGACAAAATATAAAAATAAAATAAAACAAACTTTTCTCACTTGCTGTTGGGAGAAGATAAACAGATTTATTTTCTGGAGTTATCAGATTGGATCTATAATTTTTTTTTTTTTTTTTGGAGAGGTTTTT